AAAGGGAACCATCTGCCATCCGCTGTGTGGGATCCTGGGCTGAGCCCACCCGCTGCCTTATGTGGGTCCCTAACCTGCCCTCCTCTCTGTAGGGCGACTCCGGAGGCCCCCTGATGTGCCAGGTCGAGGGCTCCTGGCTGCTGGCCGGCATCATCAGCTGGGGCGAGGGCTGTGCGGAGCGCAACCGGCCCGGTGTCTACATCAGCCTGACCGCCCACCGCTCCTGGGTGCAGAGGATCGTGCAAGGGGTGCAGTTCCGCGGGCAGTCGCAGGGGGTCGGGCCGTCTGGATTAGGAATCCGGGGGCGCGGGGCGGCAGCCTAGCCACGTGCAGGTCCCCGCGTTGTAAATAAGCCACCTACCTCCTGCGGGCGCGTCTCTCCCGCTGGGAGACTCCGCCCTCCCGACCCAGGCTCCACCTCTGGGGCCGACAGAGCTTTGTGTACATACGCTAATGATTTTTACAGTTATTTGTAATCCCGCCTGCATATTTTATTTATTCCCCCAGTTTCAATAAATTATTTATTCCCCAGGTCCTGTTTTTTCCCCCTTGAATGGGGACATTGGGAAGCAGGGGTCCACTTGTAGTTAAAACGAGGGGAGGTAGGGGTCCTGTCCGCCTGGGGTTCAACATCCTGACCCCTAACCTTTGCACTGTCCTTCCACCGAGAGGAGGCAGGAGACCCAGTTCTGCCACGTGAAAGGCCCCCAAGGGCTTGGGGGTGGCGGGCCCTGCCTGTTGGGTTTCCAAAGCAGGACTGGGTGGGAGAAACCACTCCTATGAGAGTGGGGTGTCCCCTCCCCTTCCCCTGCGCCCAGAGGCCTGTCTCCTGGATGTGAGCTGAGGCAGCCATGCCTCTGCACCCCCAGGAGCTGACTCACCAGTGACTCACAGCTGATTCTGTGAATCCTCCCTGTGGAGGAAGGAGCGCAACAATGAGACTGCAAGCTCTAGGCCCTGCCTCACCTTGGGCTTGAGTCACCCGCCTGCACCCACAGGGGTGGGGTGAGAGCAGTGTCCCAAGCCACAGGAGTTGCCTGGCTTCCTGCCCTGCGGGGGACCCAACTAACACTCCTGTTCCCTTAGGACGGCCTTTTCCACCCGCCACTCTTCTGCAGCTAGGCCTCTGGCCCTGCCCTTTTCCTCTCCCCCCACACCCTCACATCTGGAACCTGTCCTAGTCCACCCGGGCTTCCCCGAAATAGTGAATGCAAAAGAGATTCATTCTAAAGCAAAGTCAAGAAAACAACTAAGTCCAGTCATGCTAAAAGAGAGGTGTCTCCAACCAGAACCAGTCGGTGACATGAGTTTTCGAGAAGGCAGTGCAGGTTTTTGTTTGTTTTTTGGTATCGTTTATTGGAAGTACTTTTCTAAAACATTTGTTCATATTGTTTTGATTACCCTTAGGTTATTAGTAGATCACAGTAAATGCTGTGGGGTTGGTTTTACTAAAATAAACAAACAAACGTTAAACTGGTTTCCTGCTCACCTGGGAACCAGCCTGGGGAGTGAGTGGGTGGGTCAGGTGGGAGCTGGATCCCGGGCCCTCCCCTTTGTGACCTAGTCCTCTCTTTTTTGTTTTTGTTTGTTTGTTAATCCTCACTGGAGAATATTTTTTTCCATTGATTTTTCAGAGAGAGTGGAAGGGTGGGGGATAAAGAGAGAGAAAAACATCAGTGTGAGAGGGACACATTGACTGGCTGCCTCCCTCACGCCCTGGCGGAATCAAACCGAGACCCTTCAGGCTGAGGGCCGGCGCTCTAACCACTGAGCCAACGGGCTAGGGCCCCTAGTCCTCTCTTTGCCTGTCACTCTGCCTCTAGTTTCCTTACCCTCCTCCTTTGGCTTCAGTCCCCCTACCTCACTTGCTGCCCCTGCCCCTCCTTCGGTTTCCCCTTCTGTCCTGCAAGCTCTCACCCTGCTCTTCGCTTCCCCACCTTCCACTCCTGAGCCCCCCTTCCCTCATTCCTTCTCCTTCCCTCAGGCCCCCTCCTTCTGTCTTCTCTGCCCCTCAGTTTCTGCCTGTCTCTCACCCCACCCTCTCCTTCCCCTTCAGTAAACAGAGGAGCTCCTTAAAGTGGCATCCTGGCAGAAGCCCTTGAGAAAGGGATGCCTAGAAATATCTGCCAGGGTGGAGAAGTTGCCCCACAAATGGCAAGATCCTCCTGGGTGAAGTGGGTTTTCTCTGAGTTGATCAGCCTCCAGGAAGCCCCTGATCCCGAGGACACCCTTCTGCCCATCTCAAGGAAACTGAGGGACAGGCTGGACCTGGAGTGGGGACCAGGTGCTCCAAAGTTTGACAGGACTTCCAATGACTCCCCCTCCCCAATCAGGGTAGGGGGGTCCAGGAGGTAGAATTATACCAGTCCAGCCCTGGCAGGGTCCACACCAAGATCACAGAGGAGCCCCTTTGCTCCTTGGTTGGAGGCAGGCCCAGGAACATGCCCCAAATCTAGACCATTCTGGGTGGGAAGGCCTCACTGCTTTGGCTCCACAGATACCACCTGCCTCTGGAGGCTGCAGACAAGACCCTTAGGACTGCCCAGCTGTCCCCTCTAGCAGAAGTCTCCTCCATTGGGAATGGGGCCAATATGCCCATCCTGGCAGATGTCTCCACTCACCTTTGACCTCCCACATGGAGCAGCCCTTTATAGAGTCCTCCATACCTTCCCAAGGGAAGGGGCAGAGACATCAGACCACAGTGACAAATGTCACAACAGCAGAAACTGCCTTAGCTGCAGGCTGTGAGGTCTGGCTATTGCTCCTTCACAGGCTCCTTCCTCAAATCTTTAACCGCTCAGGAGACTCCCTCCCAAGCCTGGGACCTCCCAACTCTTCTCCACTCTGCATCCAGAACAAATGTGAAAAAACACACATTTAACCCCACAACATTCCCCTAGGTGGCAGGCTTCTCTGGTCGGCTCAGCCAACACCCATTCCAATCCCCGTCCTTCGCTTCCTCCACCTTAGGGACTGGAAAAGCTAAACACTCACTTCCTCAACCTCCCGCAAGGTCACAAGTGCCTAAGGTGGTTTCTTGGGAAGCTCTTTTTTCCTGATAAAAGGGACGTTATCTTTTCCCACCTCCCTCCTTCTTCTAGTCTTGAATGCAGGGAAGAAGCCAAACTCAAGAGGCTACATACTGTATGATTACATTCATGTGACACTGTGGAAAAAACAAAACTGTAGGGACAGAGAGCAGATAAGTGGTTGCCAGGGGCTGGGAGGGGGAAAAGACTGAGCACGAAGGGGCATGGGGATTGTTTTGTAGTGATGGAACTGGCTCTTCTCTTGATTTAGGTGGTGGTTACAAAACTGGATTTGTTTATCAAAACTTCTAGAACTATACACTAAAAATGGTGAATTTTACTGTGTGTAAACTACTACTCCATAAACCTGATTTTTTTAAAAACCAACAACACAAAACTGTGGAATCCTCCTTGGCTCCTCTCTTTCTCTCATTCTCTAAATTCAAACCATCAGCAAATCCTACTGGTTCAATTCTATCTTCAAATTATGTCCAAATATGGTCACTTCTCACACTGGCCCAAGCCACTCTCTTCTTTATCCTGGATTTCTGTTATAGCCTCCTACCTGGTCCCCCTGGTTCTGCTGTTGCTCCTATCAGTCCATTCTCAGCACAGCAGCCAGAGTGGTTCTCTTAAAACCTATCATATCATGTCATTCTTCTATTCAAAACCCTCCGATGGCTCCTTACTTTACTTAGAGGAAATGACATCACCTTTCTGGCCTCCCTTCTTACCTCTCGTCTCCTTGCTCCCAGCGCTCCAGCCTCATTGGCTTCCAGCTGTATTCTGGGACACAATAGGTGTGCTCCTGCCTCAGGGCCTTTGCACTTGCAATTTCCTCTTCCCCCACATGACTGCATGGCTCACTCCCTCACTTCCTACAGATCTCTGCTCAAATACGAGGATGTCACCATCGTGTTTATAAAAGCAGTATTCCTGTCCCCCATTGCTTCTTTCCTTTTTCCAGGATATTGATTATCTGTTTTACTTGTTCCTTGTTTCTTGTCCCCTCCCAAACACACATAACTAATAGATAAGCTTCTGCCCCTGTATTTGTCAGATTCTGTTTTTACTGTTTACTAAACTATCTTACCCAAGAGATATTTTGAGTTTATTAGAATTAGATCTTTATCTTATCCACCTTGGTATAGTCAGTGTCCAGAAAAAGGGCCTGGCAAAATAGCAGATGTGTGTTTCATGAGTCAATGGTAAGGAGTATGATCTATTCATCAGGATGGCGACAATGTAGACATATCTCTTTTGTTTTTATAATGACTCACTCAAGCACCGAATTCTCTCATTAGCAGAAGTTCATGCTCTCTTGAGACTGCCCCAATGTCTGCATGAACTATCCAAGAGTCCTAGGGCTTTACTTGACCCAAAGAGACTAATTCTATGAGAACTGGAAAGTCCAGCAATCCTGCACTTTAGTTCCATCGGTTAGGTCAAGGTCAAGTGGTGATGCTGATGAACAGGAGCTCCCGCTGTCCGAGACCAGCCCCCTCTCACCCCCGTGCCCTGGCGGCGCTCTTGCTGATCCAGCTCGCTGCCAGCCCTGCTCTGGTGTCCTACATGTGCAACCGAAGGTTGCAGGCCCTGAAGGTCGTACTCACAGGCCTAGTCAACGTTTCCCAGGGTAGAGTGCCCAAGTGGCCTTGTCCAAAGGGCCTCAGACACTTGTGTTGACCCTGGATCACTTGTGGTTTACTTCCTGTTAATGGGCCCAGTGGAACTCTCCCAATTTATCAGGGTAATACTAATAATATCAAACCTCACTAAATGTGACTTCCTTGACTGGTCTCCTAACTGTAATAAATTCAACTAGTTAATGTTTTATTCACCATTGGGTTTTACACCCATTACTTGTTTTGTTTCCTCCCGTTGGTAGATTTTGCATTAAATCCTTTTAGTTGCTTTACGTTTCCCATGTGTGAGTAACATCTTTTAAATTCCCTGTTCCGTGATGATATGGGTTCCAGGAAATGCTACTGATATTTACTTGTCATGGCTCTGTTTGTCACCCAGCCTGTGTACCATGCTGTGTAGCCAATAGATACTGCGTTTAACCCACATTCCAGGAAGTGGTAGCCATTTCATTGGGTACCCCATAAAAGGCTAAGAACAGAGTCCCTTTTCTTTATTTACTTATTTTCAGTTTTCTTTCTTTTTTTTTAAATTGTTGACAGTATTACAGATGTCCCCCGTCCCCACCTGTTGGGAGCCGGTGGCGTGTCTGGACATGATCCACGCCANATTACAGATGTCCCCCGTCCCCACCTGTTGGGAGCCGGTGA